TAATTATTTCCTGCCAGAGAGAATGAGCTTCAACGTTGCAAAACAAAAAGCCTCAGGCTCAAGTCACTTAGTCACAATCCCTAACCAGAATTACAAGCCTCCTTAACAAAGGGAAGTAAAGGCAAGGGTGCTCTAATATTTATGTGATTGTTAATTTTTTAAGCATAATACACCATATGTAGAAATTAAGAAATTAAGTAAATGTAATTTTTGCATTGGCACTCTTCCTAAAAATACAAATTAGAGATTTGCGAGGGGTAGTGGAGGCGTGAGTGGAATTTTGCTTTCCATCCTCAGAACTTTTCTACTGCACTAATAACCAAAGTAGAAGAAGCAAGAGTCTCAGCTGCCCAGGTTTGCTTTGCGACCCGGGGTCTTCAGCCCCCTCGACTTTGTCAGCAGGCAGTCCTCCATGGCTGGCTCCCAACATTAAGAAAAGGGAGTAAATGAGAATTTACATCTCTCAGTTAATTGGGGACAATCTGCAAGGAAGTTAAGGATGCTTTGAAGTTATTTACTGGAAGTGCATAGGAGATAAGGGGAAGCTCCCTTTTCATTACCTCTAAGGAATATGGGTATATGCTGGCCTGCTCTATCCCTCACCATGCCCTTCTCTTGTGGCAGTATGGATAGACAATACCAGGTATCCATATCCATAGAGCCAAAAAAATTTGTGATGTCATAAAAAAAATCTTAGGTCTGAATTTTATTTGTAAAGCTTTCAGATTCACAGTGTAATTTAATGTACACTATACTTGCCCTCAGGAAACTCCTAAATCAGAATGTAAATGAGTTACACAAGCAAGTAAAAACCTTACAAGATAAAGAGAGTCTACTGGAGATGACCTGTTCTCAGCAACAATCCAAAATTCAGCAACAAGAGGCCCTACTCCAACAACTGGAAAATGAAAAAAGAAAATACGATGAGGTAAGTGTTGACAAAAAGATGCCAAACTCTTTAAAATATTTTAGAATGGTTTATTCTGATCAAACTTGAGGACCTAGACCCATGACCTGTGTCCCTAGAAAGTCCTGAGAATGTGTGTCTGCTGTGGTTTAAGTGAAGCTTGGTTATATACAATTTAGGAAGACAGAAGTTACAAGAAACCATAAATCCATACATGTGAGAGTTACACTAGTTCACTCCAGAAAGGCAGGACATTTACAAGGGGTGGGGCACAGGGTATAGGTGGATTCAAAGATTTTCTGACAGCTAGTTAGCCTAATTATCCAAGGAAACATTATTTATTTATTTATTTATTTATTTATTTATTTTGAGTTGTAGTCTCACTCTGTCGCCCAGACTAGAGTGCAGTGGCCGCTCCCAGCCAC